GAACAAATCAAGAAGGAGAGTTTACATCAAAAGAATTTTGGATTTTTAGCAAAAAGAATGGAATCAGAAGAGAGTTGACAACAACCTATACTCCACAACAAAATGGAGTCGCGGAGAGAAGAAATAGATCAATAGTCGACATGGCTCGGAGTATGTTGAAAGGTAAGAATCTTCCTAATAAATTTTGGGTTGAAGCTGTTTATACTGCTGTTTATATTTTGAATAGGTTTTCTACAAAATCCCTCCAAAATAAAACAGCTTTTGAGGCATGGTATAAGAGAAAACCAAAAGTAAATTATTCCAGAGTTTTTGGATGTATTGCTTATGCTCAAGACAAAGAAAAATTTGATGAAAAAGGTGAAAAATAAATCTTTGATGGATACAGTGAAGTTTCAAAAGTTTATCGTCTTTACCATCCAAAAACAAATAAATTGATAATTTCCAGAGATGTTATCTTTGATGAGAAAAGTGAATGGAACTGGATTGAAAACTCTAGCCAAGAAACAAGAATTTTAGAAAATGACGATTCCAATAGTAATCCAGATCCAAGCCCTTCAAGTACAAGGCAAGAAAGTCCAAGACAAGGAAGTTCAAGTTCAAGTTCTTCAGATTCAGAAACGCCTCTCAGAAAAGTAAGGTCTCTTTCAGATATTTATTAATCATGTGATGTTGCTTTCTTTTCTAGTGAACCACAAAATTTTGAAGAAGCAGCTAAAGAAAAAATTTGGTTAAATGCCATGAATGAAGAAATTTCTAATATAAAGAAAAATAATACATGAGAATTAGTAGATCACCCAAAAGGGAAAGAAATAATTGGTTTGAAATGGATTTACAAAACCAAATATAATGAACATTGGTCCATGCAAAAGCATAAAGCTCGACTAGTGGCAAAAGGCTATTCACAGCAACCTGAAATATATTTTAATAAAACTTTTGCCCCTGTTGCCTGAATGGAAACCATTCGTACTGTTTTGGCCATGGCTGCCCAATTAAAAATTTCGGTTTTTTCTGTTGGATGTAAAATCTGCTGTTTTGAATGGAGAACTTGAAGAAGAAGTTTATGTTGAACAACCATTGGGTTTTATTGAAAAAGGAAATGAAGAAAAAGTTTATAAACTGAAAAAGACGTTATATGGATTAAAACAAGATCCAAGAGGTTGGAATAGACAAATTGATAAATATTTTCAAAAAAATGGATTTGAAAGGAGCCCAAGTGAACCTTCACTTTATGTGAAAAAGGGAAGTGGAAATTCCTTCCAAATTATATGCCTTTATGTGGATGATTTGATTTATACTGGTACGGACAAAGAATGATCGAAGAATTTAAAAAATCTATGATGAAAGAATATGAAATGACTGCTTTGAAAATTATGAAATATTTTCTTGGAATCCAAATAAAACAGTCAGATGGAGAAATATTTATTTCTCAAGAAAAATATGTTGAAGATCTCTTGAAAAGATTCAGAATGTCAAATTGCAAGCCAGTGAGTACTCCAATGGCAGTGAATGAAAAATTGTCAAAATATGATGATGCAGAAAAAATTGATGAATCGATTTATCAAAGCTTGGTGGGATCTTTAATTTATTTGACTAATACAGTGCTAGATATTATGCATGCAGTCAGTATTTGTTCCAGGTTCATGAATGAACCAAGAAAATTGCATTTTGCAGCAGCAAAAAGGATATTTAGATATATCCAAAGAATAAAGAAACACGGTATCAAATATATTTATGAAAATAATACTAATCTTGTTGGATTTTCTGATAGTGATTGGGCATGTTCTATTGATGATCGAAAAATCACTTCCGGCTATATATTTTGCCTAGGTACAAAGCAAAATACTATAGCTCTATCGTCAGCAGAGGTAGAATACATCTCAGCAATAAGTGCAGCATGTGAAGCTGTGTGGCTCAAAAGAATTTTATCAAACTTGCCGCAAAAGCAGAATACCCCTATAGCTATTTTCAACGACAACATGTCAGCCATTTCAATGACAAAAAATCTAGTATTTCACAGTCGATCGAAGCATATAGAAATACGACATCATTTTATCAGGGAGCTGACTGAAAAAGGAGAAGTCGAGCCAAAATTTATCAACACAAATAACCAGCTTGCAGATATTTTCACTATGACAATTTCAACTGAGAAATTCATCGAGTTCCGAGATTTAATGAGTGACAAATTAAGAGGGGATGTTGAAAGAGTAATTTGTCAGTGCCTCATCCCTTCACCGCCTCTCATTCCCTTTCTAGAACTATCCCACGGTCCTTCGCCATTTTACGTCACTCCACCAATCAAAGGAAATCATGCACAAATATTGTGTGTACATTGTTACTTTGTGGCAGACGAATAGAAGACCATCAAGAACCAAGTAGTATGGCGGTAAAAATACCTATAAAAACGGGTGATGCTAATACCAAAAATCAATCCAGGGGGTTTGGTTTTATGAAAAAGAAAGTTAGAAAAGAAGATTATGGTCCCTAAAGACCATAACATTTCTTTGTTATCAAATTTATTTATATGAAATAGTGAAATATTATTGAGTCGATATTGCCACTTCTTCACCCCTATCATTTTGATATTTTCGATCAAATTATTATATCGATGCTTCCACAAATTCCCAACAAGAATGTAGGGGAGCGATAATGAGAGAGACAGATAGAGGGAGAGAGAATCACTGAAAGTTACTAATGAGAGCAAAAGTTACCCTACGATCCCAAGATTTGGAGAGAGAGAGTTGCAGATAGAGAGAGGAGAAAGACAGAAGTAGTGGAAGTTAGAGAGAGAAAACAAGAGAGAGGGCCATCAATAACATAATAGCCCCCGGCACCTGTCGGGTATTTCGAACACCGGACAACTGTTTTACTAAACTCTATAATAGGGGGGTGCCTCACCCTATATGATGGGGGGTGCCTCTTGTAATTTGGGATAAATATGATCTCATTTTGTAAATGACCTCTCCCAATATGGTTCGCACCTAAATTTTTCCTTTTTCTTTAGTATTTCTATTTTTTTTAGGGTTCTATGATTTTTTTTTTATATTTACAGAATTTTGATAGTTATTTAAAAAAATAGCTAGAATACTTATAAAATTATTTGTGTTATTAGGGGTAAAAATGTTATTATAGATTATAATTTTTTTTAATTAGGACTTGTAGTTCAATTAGAATTAGGACTTCATGGATTATAAGTAAGGGAAAATATCTCTTTATCCCATATTTTTAACTTCCATATCTCATGAAACCCAAGAATTGAAAATATTACTTGTAAGCAAAATGTTTCTTTCTTTTCTATCTTACAAACCCATGGACCCCTTTGACCATAAAGTTTTGACTCAAACAAATACTAAAATGACACCCTATTCAAACTCCATCTCTCTCACTCTTCGCTTTTCAGTGAGTTTACCAGCCAAGGGATTGAGCTTGAGCTCGACCACGAGCACACCTTCTTATGTGTGAGAGAGAGATGGAGTTTTAGAAAGAGAAATATATGGAGTTTGGGTTTTAGAGAGAGGGGAGTTTTAGAAAGAGAGAAAGATGGAGTTTGAGTTTTAGGGAGAGAGATGAAATTTTGAGAGAGAGAGACGATGATGTGAGGGAGATGGATTTTAGGTTTTAGAGAGAGATGGAGTTTTAAAAGAGAGAGACGATGATGTGAGAGAGAGATGGAGTTTTAGAGAGAGTCATTTCATAAGTTGTTGATGTCAATAATATATGGTCAAAAAGATTTAAGGGGTTGAAAGATAGAAAAGATGGAGTCCTTTTGCTTACTAGAAGGATTTTTAATTATTGGATCTGATGAGATATAGAAGTTAAAAATATGAGATAATAGGATATTTTCCCTATAAGTAAAGTCTTTATTATAAATAGGGATTGGAAGAGGATTATAAGAAGTTGAAAAGATTTTGAAATAACGAAAGAAGAGAGTTTCGCTTTAGAATCCCTGGTTAGGTTAGCATGCCAAATATGGTAATGGTACATTGAACTTTTGCTAACCATGTTTGCTGCTATCGTCTAGGGCGGCCACCTTGTAAAACCAACTTAGGGGTGCTTTTTGACGTGGAACCGCGGCTAAACTTGTGACCAATTGAAGAGAAAAAAAATGGCACTTTAAACATTTGGCAAAATCATCCCTTGTATGGAAGGAGGAATCAATTATCAAGAGGGTTTGATGTGGAGCATCTTTTATGTTTCGATCAATTTATTAGAGAAGATGTGGAAAAATCCTAATTTATTATTACTTTCCAAAAATCAGAAAAAAAAAAAAAAAGTTCAATACTTCAACAATCTAAATTAAAAACAAAATAAAAAAAATCTGAATTTGACAGTTGTTTTCCACAATAGCTACTGAAATATGCAAACATATTAATGCAAAAAGCATACCTTTATTTATTTAGTTTTTTTAAAAAATACCGCACCTTTAGTACGAAAGCACAACTTTGAAGAAGAATAATTGGGACAAAGTTTGTCTTGCACGAGATAAACCCTAGAAGAGCCAGGGATAATCCTAATATCTGGGGAAACAAATTATTTTGCAAGGAATCTATTATTTGAGAAAAAACAACACGACTCTTTTGGTTAGATAAATATAGAAATTTCAAAAAACGAAAAATGATATACAACTTTAAAAAATAAATTTTTTTATGCAAGAAATAAAAAATAAATTCTTTTGAACCGTATTTGGAAAAGTAAATATAACATGATTTTTTAGGTCAGATAATATAGAAATTAAAAAAAAAAGAAAAAAGATATAGAGCTTTCAACAAGAAACGCTTTTTGTAAGCAATAAGCCAAATCTTTTTACACCGTATTTTTTAAAAGTGGAGCTGAATGATGCTATGTATGGGAATAACGAAAAGAACAAAACTCAAAATGAGCTACCAGTTTTGGGTGCTGATACAAGCCTTCATTTATGGCCCCATCTGCCCCATTCATCACACCACCCCTCTCCAAAACTCTCCCTCTCCAAAACTCTCCCTCTTTAAATCCCAACCTCGATTTCCCCCTCATACCATAAACGACTCATATAAACATCGGAAAGCCAGAGTTCGCTAGCACAATCGCCAGAAAAATCAGAGGGAATCCCACAAACCCAAAGGGAAATCGGCCATGCCAGCCTCTCAAAACATGCCTAATTCCCAGAGCTCAGTTAGTCACAAATATGTGAAACTTGGCTACCAGTACATTGTAAACCACCTTCTCACCTTTCTCTTAGTCCCTATAATGGCAGCCGCTGCCATTGAGCTTTTCCGATTGGGTCCGGAGGAGATCCTTCGCCAGTGCGACTCTCTCCGCTTAGACCTCGTCCAAATACTTTGTTTGTCTCTCTTCATTGTTTTCATGGCCAGTCTCTACTTTATCTCCAAGCCACGCCCCATTTACTTGGTTGATTACACATGTTATAAGCCACCAGACAGTTGCAGAGTACCACGCTCTCTCTTTTTAGAGCACATAAGCCTCTCGCCTTGCTTTGATCCAGAAAGTGTAAAATTTCAGGTTCGAATACTGGAGCGGTCTGGTTTGGGAGAAAGGACCTGCGTGACTCCCTCTCTTTTCTATATACCGCCAGACCCGACCATGGCTGATGCTCGAGCTGATGTTGAGCTCGTTATCTTCTCTGCCGTCGACGCATTATTTAAACGCACGGGGATCAAGCCTGAAGAAGTTGATATCTTGATAGTGAATTGCACTGTGTTTTCGCCGACTCCTTCCCTCTCAGACATGGTGATCAAGAAGTTTAAGATGATGAGCAACATCAAGAGTTTCAACCTCTCTGGGATGGGATGCAGTGCCAACCCCTTAGCTGTCGATCTAGCTCGTCATTTATTGCAGGCATGGTTCTTCTAAAATCCCCATAATATGAACTTCTCTTTACTTAGGGTAGGTTAGTAAAGAAAAATAACTGCACATACGACAATGTTCTTGAAACTCCGGAAAGAGTTTCACCCATTTTTTATTTCTTCTTGTCACCCATTTTCCTTTCTTTTTCTTTTCTTTTGGCAAAGATTACTTACAAGTAGTCTTATTACAATAAATCTTGCTTTAAAGAAAATAAAACTGACAAATTTAAGATCTTAAAAACCTTGATGTCATTAAACCAATTTTCTTTAGACAAAAAAAAATATCCACAATTTTTATGCTTAGGAATATAAAACCAATATAATTAAATATAGCAAGAAACAAAAAAAATAAAAAAAGAGTGTTGGAGATTACCTCAACCAGGCTTATTACACCCCACACCGAGTCACTAACATCCGATGGTGCGGTATCAATAGTTTAGCTTCAATCTCGAACCAAGAAAGCAAATTTCGGTCAAACTGAGTATTCACCCTTAAATCTCTACAAACTCTAACCCCCAAAATTTTCTTGGCTTACCCCTAATTTTCCAACTCTTAATATTTTTTAAGCATGATAGAGAAAGTGGGAGACCTAAGGTTGGGGCGTTAAAGTATGATAGAGAAAGTGAGAGACCTAGGGTTGGGTCGTGCCCCTCTAGACGCTTAGGAGAGAGAGGGTTAAAGAGAGAAAGTTGAAGACAGAGACCCATAGGAGAGAGAAAATTATAGAGAATAGGGAGAGAGTGCACTCCTATTTATAGAGAAAAATTAGGTTTAGGGTTTCTCATAGTTTGCCTCTTTCTTGATATTGAATATGGACTGTTGATCAAGGTGACTTGTGGGGTGAGAGATCTGAGCCATCCATTCCATAGATGGGTCATCAACATTATGGAAGGTGATGGACCATTGATCAAGGTGACTTGTGGAGTGAGAGATCTGAGCCATCCATTCTATAGATGGGCCATCAACATTATGGAAGGTAATGAACCATTATCCCTATTTCCTTAAACCATTTTCCCATCAATATATTTAAACAAATTGAATCTTATTTAAATATTATTCATTCCATAAAATAGCATATTTTTTCTCATACTATTCAAAGATATGTCAAGTCAAGATATGCTTTCAATATTTAGGATAAAATGTGGTCAATCTTTCCCATATCTAATATTAGATCACATACCACAAGATACCTTTTCTAAATTTGAATAACTTGACAACAAAGCAAACAACCAAGAGGTGGGGTGTACCACCTATGTGTGGCACGTGTGGGCCCCACCTACATGGTACATGGTGGGCCCATGTGCACTATGAGCCCTCATGATATTTAACAAATTAATTTCTAAAATATTATTTGAATTTTATATTTTTGTAAAATCAATAACTTTATTTTTATAAGTCTAAAAATTATAAATAAAAGATCAAAAGACTCATAAAAACTCAAATAATATTTTTAAAGCAATTTTTATCATAAAACAATCATAAGTAAATTAATATGATGGAAAATAAATCCATATGGTTTAGGAATTGAATTAACAATCATGGGGTACTCCACCTTCAACTATGGACTACGAACCACACTTGCTTTATCAGATCAACCCAGTGTTTCCCATGACCCACAGTCCAAGCAAGGGCTCATTAGCGGGTCACTGAAGTCTAGTCGATGAGTCAAGGGGTCGCAATTCCAGTCTGTGTATATCAAGTCCTTCCCTAGAGACGAGTCAAGGTCACCAAGACCTTATGCGACCACAGTTCTAAGACACATAGGGGTATTTATCACACATACATACGCTTCACCCTAAAAGGTGGATATCTGGCTTTCCCGAACGATCTATCAATATGCATGCCGTGTGATGGATCATGGATGGGGTTTTGGCCCCTATCTTTGTAGGCCCACCATCGCACACAAGGGTCACACAGTCTGTCGGCTCATTCATCAAGGCATAAGCTCCGACCTCATCAAGGGATAACCCAGAACCCTTCTCGATTTGTTCTCTATGTCCAGATACCTTGGGTTTTCCAACCGATTGGCCTAGATCATCAAGTACAGTCCGGTATCAGCAAATATCGTTTGCTTAGTATGGTCCACGAAGGACCACACTCCCACTGAGTTCATGTTCCACTATATTATTTCATTTTACAAGCACTCATAGGGCCTTTAAATGCTACATAAACCGAACAACTCCTACAACCACAAAAGCAATTTAGTTATTACATAGATTATTTTTTCTTTGGGCTAGATTACTTAAAATTCCTATCCCTGCCCTTGATGGCGCAGGCCGTTATAACAGATTTTTAAAACCATGACGGTGTTTATTTAGGTGCATGCAAATGCGTATGCAATGGTGGTGAGCACGGAGATCTTCACCACCAACTGGTACAACGGCAACCAGCGGTCCATGCTCCTCCCAAACTGTCTCTTTCGGATGGGGGGTGTAGCTCTCCTGCTCTCTAACCACCGCTACGAGAGCTGTCGTGCAAAGTACCGTTTGGTGCATGTTGTGCGCACCCACTGTGGCGCTGATGATCGCGCCTACCGCTGTATTTCGCAGGAGGAGGATCTCCAACAAAATGTCGGCATGTCTCTCTCCAAAGATCTCATGGTTATTGCAGGTGAAGCCCTCAAATCGAATATCACGACTATGGGACCCCTCGTTTTGCCAGCATCTGAACAACTTCTCTTCCTTCTCTCTCTAATTGGTCGAAAGATATTTAACCTAAAGTTGAAGCCTTATATTCCTGATTTTAAACAAGCTTTTGAGCATTTTTGCGTACACGCTGGAGGGAGAGCAGTGATCGATGAACTGGAAAAGAATTTGCAGTTGCCTCCTGAACATGTTGAGGCATCGAGGATGACACTTCACAGGTTTGGGAACACATCATCGAGTAGTTTGTGGTATGAGATGAATTACATTGAGGCTAAAGGCAGGATGAAAAAGGGAGACAGGGTTTGGCAAATTGCGTTTGGGAGTGGGTTTAAATGCAATAGTGCGGTTTGGAAGTGCAACAGAAGCATCAAAGTGGGGACAGACGGGCCATGGGCAGATTGCATCGACCAATACCCTGTGCATATCCCGGAGGTTGTCAAGCTCCAGCAATTATAAATAGTGTATATTGTGGATATGCTTTTTACAGAAAGTATATATGATTGGTAATGTATATGGATAGGTAGGTATAATATCCTATATTTTTCGTAAGATTGGATGTTGTAGGATATGCTACATAGAAATACAGTGTCAAAAATATGAAGATAAAAAAGAAGTCGTATGGATTGTTGATAGTTGTAGCAGCCAGATATTGAGTTTCCTATCTTGTGTTCAATAAAATATTGAGTTTCTTATTTTTAGGATTCCAAAGTAACAAACATTATAATTCTATAATATCTAGTAAACGAGAGTAATTCCTATGAATGAGATACTGGTTTACCCTCTGTGGACATAGACACCGTTGCCGAATCACCTATATGTCATGTCAATTTCTTTCTCTCTCGTCACTATGTCCTTAATGACAAATTCTATATGGATAGAGTTTGTCCCTCTAATATATGAGTATCTACGTATATGCACATGTCTATATATACATATATATTGAAATTTATGTGTTGTTCACATCAACATTTACATATTCAACATTCCATAACAATAGTAAAGCGTCACAGTAAAATTAAATTAAACTAATCTAAAAAATGTCACTTTATGAGTAGAATTTCATCAAAGTTTTTTTTTAGTCCAATGGAAGGTTATGTCACATGGAGAAAGGCTAAAAACTATTGAGTATTTTATTAAATCAAAATGTAATACCCTCATGGCTATTGTATTGGGTTCTAATGTAATTATTCAAGATCTTATGATCGCATCACTTGCACCATCAATAGAAAATAAAAATAATTTTTATATTTATTTATAATCCAGTTTTACTATAAAATATTTTCAAAATAAAATACTATTTGTTGAAGAATAGCATTTTATAAACAAAGAAACACCAAATTCCAAAAATGAAATGTGTCCAAAAAAGAGACACAATGTAAGACATTCCATTGTTGTATGCATTTCTAAAAGTGTAGGCGCAGGTGCCCACATCCACCCATAGTTAGCAAGTTGGTGAATAATAATATATCGGTAAACCAAAATATCGGTAATAAATCGATTTTATTTTAGAAAGTCGGAAGAAAAAGTCGGGTAAAAAATAAGAATAGCCCAAAAATAAGGCAACTTATATAATCATAAATATTTTGGATGGCTCAAAAAAAACAGAGTGAAAAAATATGATATGTAAAAATGACAGAATATAGGATTATGATTTGCAGTTATTGTATAGATGCATCAAAGTCATTGAACAATAATTTTATGGGCTTACTTAGTGTCCTTAAAGTAATAATGGATAATTTTTTGTCAAAACATAAATATGAAATTAATCAAACTTCTTAATTCATAAAAAAAGCAACAAAATGCTTACGCAAATTCAAATCTAACATTGAATTCCTAGCTATCTAAATCTTTAGTATCATCGATTGCTCTTTATAAGGATGTTTCAGGTTTTAAGAAAAAAAAAAAAGGATTTTCATTGAGTTACTCATCTTTTAATACTGCCTATTATTGTAGGATATACGATTGTTTTGATATCTTAGATTTTGAGGGACATATTGTTCCTATGTTCTGGATCCTTATGGGGTCTTAGGGGTTTTCTCAAGGGCCCAAATATTCTCTATATTTGGTTCCTTTAGGTTAATACCTAAGATGGAGCTGGCCTAGTTATGGGTCTTCAAAAGCTCTGATGTGAAAGTTGTTATGTTTGATTCCTTATAATTGTGGCCTTATACAGTTTCTTTGGAAGGTGTCTGTGACGAATTTTTCCATTAGCCTTTCTTGGTTTTCCCTACTTTTCCACTCTTGTCGTTTACGTTTACTTGACTTTCCTCACTTTGGCTTCTCCCTGCCCATTTTCTTTTGCCCTATTTATCAACACTATTTGGTCACTGATTATGCATTGAAACCTACTGGTTTGCTGCCATGTTGTCTTGCTGCCATGTTGTCGATTCTCTCCTCAGAGCCGGTTGTGTCGCTCCAACCCCAGCTTGTAATGTGATTGTTGTCCTCAGAGCAGGTTGCGTCGCTCCAACCCCAGCTTGTAATGTGATTGTATTGATGGTGAGAAGTCGAGGTTGGGTTGAAGCCAGAGAGAGCATGAGGCCTTTAGAAGTTGCTTTACATGGTCTCTGAGCATTCTTAGGTAGTTGGTGGTATAGGGTCATGTGTTTGAAAAATTGGTGGATGAGGCCTTTAGAAGTTGCTTGGTATATAGTCTAGTGTTTGAAAAATCGGAGACTCATCATTGATCAGGTGGATGAGGGGTTTAAAAGTTGCTTGGTATAGGGTCTTATGTTTGAAAAATCGGAAACTCATCATTGATCAGGTAATTGGTGGTATAGTGTCTTGGAGCTTGTATCAGGTAATTGGTGGCATAGGGTCTTGGAGCATGTAATGTGATTGTATTGATGGTGAGAAGTCGAGGTCGGGTTGAGGCCAGAGAGAGGATGAGGCCTTTAGAATTTCTTTGCATGTTCTCTGAGCATTCTTAGGTAGTTGGTGGTATAGGATCATGTGCTTGAAAAATCGGTGGATGGGGCCTTTAGAAGTTGCTTGGTACAGTGTTTTGTGTTTGAAAAATCGGAGACTCATCATTGATCAGGTGGATGAGGCCTTTAGAAGTTTCTTGGTATAGGGTCCTGTGTTTGAAAAATTGGAGATTCATCATTGATCAGGTAATCAGGCTTAGAGCTCCATGCTTCTCACGCAGGAAGATCATAATGGTTCACGACCTTTTATACTTATATTCTCCTCAAAATCTACGACGTGAGATCAATTCCTCTTGCCGTCGCATCTATACGTCCCAGTACCTATGTCTAAGCCTTAACACCTTAAATTAAATGCTTCTGCACAATGCTATCTTGGAGGAGTAAGCTCTTTTAGGCCAATAATAATAATATTATAATAAAAAAATTATTTTAATAATTATTTTATATGAAAATTTGCCAATTATGTTTTTGTAGGATCATATTATATAGCAACTTTTCGAGCTAAAATTATTATTTAGGAGTTTTTCTTTTTAATTTGAAATTTTAGAATCCATTTAAGCAAGGTTCGAAATTTTGCCAAAAATGTTGCCTAGTAGGTTTTTTTTTTTTTTTTTTTTGAATTTTATATTTTTATCTTTCAGTTTTTAGTGTAAAGTTATTTTTTTAATTTTTTAAATGTCATAGCATTAAAATTCATAAGAGGTTTTATTTTTTTCTTCAATCATGTCATATGGAAGCATTTTTAATTATTTTTTATCATGTTTATTATATATTATAATTAATAGTTATGCATTGATAACCGACTGTTCATTTATTTGCATTATAAATTATGTAATGTATTAGTTTGTCTTATAGTTGTAAATAAGATGTTTTAAATTAGATGATATCATAAGACTTTTTAGATTTCTTCTTATTTGTATAGTAAAAGAATTACAAATGGAAAAAGCTGGAGTAGACCTATTAGCTCACAACTACATATGAGCCCAATGGCTTGTATTCAATCTGGAACGATCTAACGGCTACAACTCTGTTTCGTATTTGAATTTGAATTTTTTTTTCTACATATCCAAATCACTTGAAATTTTGTGCATGTGTTCTTAAAAAATAATAGAATCTAACAAATATATCAAACAAATAAGTTTCAATAAATAAATTGATCAAAATACCCCCAAAAATATCAGGGGTATTTTGATCAATTTATTTACTATAGATTATTTATTAAATATTTTTATTAGGTGTGCATTGATGAAAAGAATAGACACCTAAAATTTCATGTGATTTAAATTTGTAGAAAAAAAATTTAAATTAAAATACGAAATAAAGTCGTGACTATCAGATCGTCCCAGATTGAATCTGAGCCGTTGGGCTCATATGTAACTATGAGCTAGCGAGCCTATGCTAGCTTTTTCCATTACAAAATACAAAACAACACTTCAATTTCAGTATATAATATTACGGGCAAGCTTTCTATAGTTCCCCTACAATATAAAACTTATATACATCCCTTTATCCAACCGTTCATTCTAAATGGAGGGCTAAGATTGTCTCAAACACAATGTCACATTTTTATACTATTTTATTTTTAATTTTTTTCTATAAATTATTTTGACACCAAATTTTGTACATCCAATCCTCTATTAAACTCGCACTAACGAAAAATATAAAAAAAATATTTTCAATAAATAAAATGACCAAAATACCCTTAAAAGTTTCAAAAGATATTTTGGTCAATATATTTCATCAAAAAATTATTTTTGATATTTTTTTTATAGGTGTGCCCCAATGAGAAGATGACACGTATCAAATTTTATATTCATACAATTTGTATAAAAAAAATAAAAATACAATACTTTGAGACGTCGGATCCAAAATCAAACGATGAGTGGATCTTTTGATCAAAATTGGACAGTTGGATGGTAGGAGAAGCATAGATTTTGTACGGGAAGTATTGGATGAGTAAAGAGATTAATAAATGTTTGATACTTTGATGTGATACTAATTTCACTTTATATGGCGGAATTATTTTTTGTAATCTGAAAGTGCTTTCTAATATTTTTTAATTATTTTGATGCAATATTATAAGAGTAGTGATACCATGAGACCCTCCTGCACCCATGTGAGTAGGACTTCAAAATATCACTGTTAAATTTTGATACAGATCTCTAGAAAAGTTATCAATAAACTCATTCACCCAAGTCCATAAGTTTTCTAGAGATCCGCGTCAAATTTAATGGTGATCTTTTGGGGTCCTACCCATATTGGTGTGGGAGGGTCTCATAGTGTCATTACTCATATTTATAGTACAATATTAATTATTATTCAGATATCCAAAAGAAAAACAATGTCTCAGTACTTATCTATTTTTAGAAAGTAATGATAGTACATAATACATCACTGCTAATTTCTTTTATAAACTAAAACAACACTATTTTTTGAGATTTATAATGATTTTTTGAAAAACTTTTAGGACAAAATTTGCCGTTTCAGTCGATTCTCTAAACCAATCCCCCGACTCACGGATCCGACATTGGTACATGTGACACTGATTCCGGTGAAAAGCAAAGAGTTTTTTTTTTTTTTTTTTTTCTTACTTATGTAGCTTGATTCCTTTTTATTGTCCGGGAAGAGAGAGAGAATTCCATGATTTCAGTAGAAAGGATGGTTGCCCCATCTAGCGGCTTCAATTGATAAGGCTCCGTCTAACTGCCAAAACA